ATGTTGTTTAATTAATTAATTAGTCAATTAATTAATTAATTGATTAATCAATTAATTGATTGATTCATTAATTAATTAATTATATTGTTTAATTAATCAACTAGTTAGTTATGTTGTTTAATTAATTAATTTAATCAATTAATTGATTAATTAATTATATTGTTTAATTAATTAATTAATTAATTTATTAATTAACTAGACAGTTTAATTGATTAATTAATTAACTGATTAATTAATTAATTTATTCGATGGTTTATTTGACGAATTAACTAATCAATTAACTAGTTAATGAGACAATCGAATCAGTTAGACAATATGCTAAATAATTAATTATAATTAATCAATTAAGTAATTAATTAAATGATTAATTAATTAAATAGTTAATTGACTAGTTACTTAGTTAATTAGTTCGTCAGATTAGATGAGACAGCAGCAGCAGCAACAGCAGCAGCATTTGCAGCAGCAGCAGCAGCAGCACTAGCAGCAGCAGCAGCAGCACTAGCAGCAGCAGCAGCAGCAGCAGGAGTAAGTTTGTTTTGCTGCTGCAGGGGAAGACGGGCGTTTGAAGTCTGCTGCTGGGATCGGCTGTCTCCTCCAAGACGGGATCGGAGACACCATAAGAGTGTCTTTGACAGAAGACCCTTGGGCTGAGTTGCCAGTCTGCAGATATCTCAGAAAGCTGCAGAACTACAAGCTGCAGCAGCAGCAGCAGCAGCAGCAGCAGCAGCAGCAGGGGCAGCGGGGGCGGGAGCAGCAGCAGCGGGAGCAGCTGCGGGAGGGGCGCGGCGCCGATGCGGCTGCGGGGCGTTTTGCTGCTGTGGATGCTGCTGCAGCAGCGGACCCAGCAACAGCAGCAGCAGCGCAAATAGCAGCAGCAGCAGATGCAGCAGCAGACGCAGCAGCAGCAGCAGCAGACGCCATTCCACCTTTTAAGGAAACCTTCCGCGACTTCGCCTCCATCACGCGGCGAAAGCTGCGGCTCATTCCCCCAGCAGCAGCACCAGCAGCAGCAGCAGCAGCACCGGCTGCAGCAGCAGCAAAATCAGCTGCAGCTGCAGCAGCAGCAGCACCTGCTGCTTCTATTCTGCACCGCGATGGCTCAGTGGTGGTGGCAGTAAGCCCTCAGGATCTGGTGGACTCTGTGAGTGCAGCAAAAGGAGACAAACCCTAAACCCTAAACCCTAAACCCTAAACCCTAGGTAGAAAGGGGCGAATACACAGGGCTGCTGCTGCTGCTGCTTGGCCTCATTCTTTCTCTTTTTTTGTCTCTTCATTTCTCTCGTTTATATTTATATTCATATTTATAGTTTTATTTATATTCATATTTGTATATGTATATTTATATATTTATACACTTTTATTTTTATTTTTATTTTTATTTCTCTTTATTCCTTTTTGCCTCTTTTGAATCTAGAAAATATAACTGGGCCAAAAGGCTTCTTAATGTTTTCTAAAAAAGCTGCTGCGTGCAAAAAGGACTTCACCACAGCAGCAGCAGCAGCAGCAGCAGCAGCTGCTGCTGCTGCAGCTGCTGCGGCTTGCAAAGAAGCCAGAAAGGAAACAATTGCAGACAGCAAGCGAATTTGGAAATTGCAAAAAGGGAAAAAAATAAAAAGAGAAAAACAAAAAATGGAAGATAAAAATAAAAATAAAAATAAAAATAGAAAAGTTGTGGGGTGGCTGCGCATGCAGAGCTGTCTGTACACCTCACTAGGGCTGCGGCTCGTCAAAGGCCTTCCTTTCAAAACGCAAATGAGCGCTGATGGAATTTATTTGGAGACTCTTTTCTTTCCCCAGCAGCAGCAGCAGCAGCGGCTGCAGCTGCTGCAGCAGCTGCGGGCGCGGCAGACGGTTAAGGAGCTGCTGCATGCGGGGGTTAGCGTGTGGGCCCCAGCAGCAGATATTCAGCAGGTGCAGATGGCGCAGGAGCAGCTGCAGCAGCAGCAGCAGCAGCTGCAGCAGCAGCTGCAGCAGCTGCGGCAGCAGCAGCAGCAGCTGCAGCAACTGCGGCAGCAGCAGCAGCCGCCGCACCAGCAGCAGCAGGAGCAGCAGCAGCTGGAGCAATACCAGCAGCAGCTGGAGCAGCAGGAGCAGCAGCTGCAGCAGCAGCAGCAGCAGCAGCTGGAAGCTGCTTCTTTGTACTGGCCAGGCCTTGTTGCTGTGCAGAGACTCAGCGATGCTGCTGCTGTGGGGCCCCACATCTCAGGGGCCTATTTAAAAGAGACAGCAGCAGCAGCATTTGTTGCTGATGGCACGGAGACACTTCAGGAAATGGAAGCAGTCGTCAACAGACCCGTCAGAATGCTGCTGCTGCTGCTGCTGCTGCTGCTGCAGTTATTGCGGTGCGGCGCTGCTGCCGCTATTGTGGTGGTGCAGCAGCTGTTAATGTGGTGGTGGTGCTGCTGCTGCTGTGGCTCCTGTTGTGCTGCTGCTATTGCTGCTGCTGTTGCTGCTGCTGCTGTTGCTGCTGTTGCTGCAACTGCTCTTTTTATTTCTTTTATTTCTTTTATTTCTTTTTAATTAATTATTAGTTATTCCCTTTTTGTCTGCTGTGTCTCCTGCTGCTGCAGAATGCTCTGTGTCTCCTCATTAAGCCAAAGCATGCAGCAGCAAATGGAGTAGCAGCAGCAAGAAGGATTTATCAACTCTTAAGAGAAGCAGAATTCAATCTTTTCAAAAGGGCCCAAGGGGGCCCCCCGGGGGCCCCCGTAGGGGGCCCCCTAGGGGCCCCAGAAGGGGCCCCAGAAGGGGCCCCCCAGGGGGCCCCCATAGTAGAGGGTGTGGGGGCCCCCCAGGGGGCCCCTCAGGGGCCCCCTGGGGGGCCCCTTGGGGGGCCCCTGGGGGGGCCCCCTGAGGGGCCCTTTGAGGGGCCCCCTGGGGGTTCTTTGCCAATTTTGCTGTGGCTAGAGGGGCCCCCCAAAGAGCTGCAAGGAAATGGAAAGGAGAAAAATGAGAAAGAAGGAAATGAAGAAGTGTCTCCGTCTGATGCTGTGGGCTGCTGCTGCTGCTGCTGCTGCTGCTGCTGCTGCTGCGCTGTTTGCTGGTTTTCACTTCTCTGTTTATTTGCATGCGCATGCATAAATTGGATGAATGAAAGATATTTGTTTTCCTTTAAAATTTATTTGTTTTTATTTGTCATTTTAATTTTCTTTTCATTCCATCCTCATTTTCTTTTTGTTTTTTCTTCATTTTTTATTTTGATTTTATTTCCTTATTTTCTTTTTATTTTCTTGTTATTTTCTTTTTATTTTAATTTGATTCAAAATGTCTAAAAGCTAAAAACTGCATTATATTGTTTTGGACATTTCTTTTCCTCTTGAAAAAAATTAAAATTGTAAAATATTTTAACCAAATGCAAATTCTTTTCTATTTATTTATACAACAAGTGGTACATGATTGTTATTCATTTATTTATTTATTTATTTATTCATCTCTAATTATTTATAATGCATTTAAATTAGCATTATTATGCATATGTATATATTTATTTTTAATTTAAAAAGTTTATATTAAGAAATGCTCTTTTAATAGCCTTTCAGGAAAATTCCACAAAACGAACATGCAATTTAAATGTTTATTCCTTTAAATGCTGCAGCTTTTAGCTGCAGCCAAAGGCTGCAGCTAAAAGCTGCAGCAGCTGCCGCTGCAGCCAAAGGCTGCAGCTAAAAGCTGCAGCAGCTGCTGCTGCAGCCAAAGGCTGCAGCTAAAAGCTGCAGCAGCTGCTGCTGCAGCCAAAGGCTGCAGCTAAAAGCTGCAGCAGCTGCTGCTGCAGCCAAAGGCTGCAGCTAAAAGCTGCAGCAGCTGCTGCTGCAGCCAAAGGCTGCAGCTAAAAGCTGCAGCAGCTGCTGCAGCCACCCTAAAAGTGTCTCTTTTTCATCTTTTTAAATCCCTTTTTCTCTTTTTTGTTTCTTTCTCTCTTTCTGTTTCTTTTTTTCTCTTTTTGTTTTCTTTTGTTTCCTTTTGTTTCTCTCTGTCTTTTTTTGTCTCCTCTTGTATTTTTTATGTCTTTTTTGTTTCTTTTTTGTTTGTTTTTTATTTCTTTTTATTTGCTATTATTTCTTTTTATTTCCTCTTATTTCTTTTTTTTAAATTTCTTTTCTATTTCTTTTTTATTTCTTTTTATTTCTTTTTATTTCTTTTTTATTTTTGTTTCCTTTTGTATCCTTTTAGGCCCTGTTGAGCTGCATTCCTTGGGGTGTATGTACAGCTGTGCCTCTCCACTGTGGGGTGTGGGGTGTATGTACAGCTCTCTCTTCAGTTTGTGGGGTGTGGGGTGTATGTACACCTGCCTCCTTTGTGTGTGGGGTGTGGGGTTTGGGGTGTATGTACAGCTGTCTCTTTTGTTTGTGGGGTGTGGGGCGTGGGGTGTATGTACAGCTGTCTCTAGTGTCTCTTGAGTTTGTGGGGTGTGGGGTGTATGTACAGCTGTCTCTGTTTTGGGGGTGGAATGTGGGGCCTTTGCTGCTGGAGGGTCTGAGCGAGGGCCTGCTGCTGCAGCCGCAGCAGCAGCCGCAGCAGCAGCAGCAGCAGCAGCAGCAGCAAATGTCAATTCTTGAAAGGACACAAAAGGGCCTCGGGCTGCTGCAGGCCTGCCGCCTCCGCAGCAGCAAAACAGAATTTATTTCCTGTCCTTCTTGTGGCCGCACTTTGTTTGATATTCAAGTAAGATTTATTTAATTAAAGTAAATCTAATTAATTAAGTAATTAATTAATTTAATTAATTAAATTAATTAAATTAAATCAATAAAAGAAAATAAGAAAACTACATTTCTTTTTTAACTTGTTTTATTTCGTTTGAAAGAACGCAAAAGGTCTTTTAAAAGGGTCTCTTTTAATTGAAATGAAATTAAAATAAAATTTGTTTTTGAGATTTTGAACAGACAATTAAAAGAATTTCTTTTTAAAATTTAAAAGAAAGAAATTATTTCAAAAAGTCTTTTTCATTTAAATGAAGTAAAAATTAAAACAAAAAATATCTTTTTGTTTAAAAGAAGAAACAAATAAAAAACATTTTTTAAATTTGCTAAAATTCCTCTTTTTTAATTTTTATTTTTTTTCTGATTTTTTTAATTTTTTAAATATCTTTTTTTTCTTTTTCTAATTTTTTTCAGCAGCACTTAGCAGCAGCAGCAGCAGAAGGGCAAGGGCCTCAAAAAGCCTCAATTGTGTCTCTTTTGTGTCTCTTTTTGCTGCTGCGCTGCAGCAAGTAGCAGCGGAAATCAAAAAGCATTTGGGCCATTTGCCCGGAGTTAAAATTGCTGTCATGGGGTGTATAGTCAACGGCATTGGAGAAATGGGAGACGCAGACTTCGGATATGTTGGAGGGGCTCCTGGACTCGTTAGTTTGCTGCTGCTGCTGCTGCTGCTGCTGCTGCTGCTGCTGCTGCTGCTGCTAATGGTTGTGGTGTGGCGGTGATAGTGGTGGTAGTAGTGGTAGTGGTGAGACGCAGACTTTGGATACGTTGGAGGGGCTCCTGGACTTGCTGCTGCTGCTGCTGCTGCTGCTGCTGCTGCTGATGCTGCTGATAATGTTGATAGTGCTGTGATAGCGATAGCGGTGGTGGTGGTGGTGGTTCTGGTGCTGCTGCTGTTGCTGATAAAGCCGCTGCTGCTGCTGCTGCTGCTGCTGGTGCTGCTTATGCTGCTGCTGCTGCTGCTGGTGCTGCTTATGCTGCTGCTGCTTATGCTGCTGCTGCTGCTGCTGGCGCTGCTGCTGCTGCTGCTGGTGCTGCTGCTGCTGCTGGTGCTGGTGCTGCTGCTCCAACGACTCAGCAGACGCGACAAACGACCCCGCGACTCCTCCAACTCCATGCATTTATTTATTTATTTATTTATTATTTAAATTTTATTTATTTATTTATTTATTTATTTATGTATTTATTTATTGTTAGGTGGATTTGTATGTGGGCAAACGGCTGGCGCGGCGGGGCGTGAAGAGCGCGGAGGCGTGCGAGGCGTTGATAGAGTTGATAAAGAAGGAAGGGAGGTGGAAAGAAAAGGAATAAAAAAATAAAAAAAGAAAGAAAATAAATGAAATGAAATGCAGAAGGGTACCTCGTTGAAAGGAGAATCAAAAGAGATGCAAAAAGATGCAAAAAGCAGAAAAAATGGACGCAAATTAACCAAAAAATCAAAAATTCAAAAGTTTTAAAAATAAAACGTTTGGTATTAAGGTGGAGGCTGTTGGAGCTAGAAGGAGATACACAAATAAATCAAAATAAATAAATTTATTTATTTATTTTTTTATTTATTTAAATTAATTAGTCAATTAAATTAATTAATTAATTTAAAAACAAATAGATAAGCAAATAATGATAATTAATTAATTTATTTATTTATTAATAGAGGAAAATAAAAAAATAAAAAGGAGGAGGCAAATGAACACAAAAAAAAATTGAAAAAAGCAAAAGGACAAAAAGAAGAAACAAGAAAATAAATTTAAAACTTTTTAAAGCGCAATTTCAAATATTCAAATTAAGATTTAAATACTCAAATTGAAGTTTGAAAGATTTAAATTAAAATTTAAACAGTAAAATTGAAATTTAAATATTTACAATTGATTAGTAATAGGGGCTTTTTTAAAGGACGGAAAAGGACACACAAAAAAGATTAAAATATGAAAAAAAGAAAAAGAAAAAAAAAGAAACAATAAACAAAAAAACATAAAAAGAGATAAAAAGAGATTAAGAGGAGATTAAAATGAGATAAAAGAGACAAAATGGGAGGGCAAAGAATTACAAAAGAAGTAAAAAGAAACAAAAACAATTAAAAGGAATTAAAAAGGAGATAAAAACAATTAACAGGAATTAAAAAAGAATTAAAAAAAGAACTAAAAAAGACAAAAAGGTATTCTTTTTGTTTGCATACAGGGGAAACTTTTGTTTCCCAATTTTGGGGCTGTTGAAACTTTTATTTTTTATTTTTTTAATTTTAATTTTGTTTTTCATTTCCGACTTTTTGTCCACTTTTCTCTTTTGCAAATTAAAAAAATATTTTTTCTTTTTCCTTCTTGTCTTCTTTGAATTCTTTTTGTTTCCTGTTTTCTCTTTTTTCTTTTTCAATTTCTTTTTTATCCTTTTCAATTTCTTTCTATCATTTTAAATCTGTTCTTTATCTCCTTTTATTTATTTCTTTTTATTTCATTTTTCTTCATTTTTTATCTTTTTTATTTCTTTTTGTGTTTTCTTTTTATCTCTCTTTGCTCCCAATTTGTCTTTTTTCCTTTTATTTTATTCTTCTTGTTTTTATTTTCTTTTTAGATTTCTTTTTATCTTTTCTTTTTTATCGCAACTAAGTACTTCATTTCTGATTTCAAAATTAAACACTTTTTTTCTTTTTTCAAAAAGAAATGAAAAGACTATTAAAGAGCTTTTAAGGGACTAACAAGGGGCCCCTAAAAGGGCCCAAAAGAAATCCTAAAAATGAATTTTTTAAATTCCCAAAAAAGCCTTAAAGGGGCCCCCGAAGGGGCCCCCGAAGGGGCCCCCAGAGGGGCTCCTAGGGGGACCTAGGGGGCCCCCAAGGGTACCCTTTTGGGGCCCCTTTGGGGCCCCGAAAGGGTACTAATTTGGCCCCAGGGGGCCCCAAAAGGGGCTGCAGACGCAGCTGCTTCCCTGCTTTAACTGGCCACTAGCTAGCTAGCTAGCTAGCCAGCTCCCTAGCTAGCTGCTGTTAGCTTGCTAGCTAGCTAGCTGCTGCTAGCTAGCTGGCTGCTGCTAGATTGTTGGCTGGCCAGCTGCGTCTGGCTGGCTGGCTAGCTAGCTAGCTAGCTAGCTAGCTAGCTACGTCGCTAGCTGTGGCTGGCTAGCTGGGGTTGGCTAGCTAGATGGCTAGCTGCAGCTAGCTGCAGCCTGTAGCTAGCTAGCTGTTTGCTACTGTGGCTAGCTATAGCTAGCAGCCAGCAGCTAGCTAGCTAGCTGTGGCTACCTGCGGCTAACTGCAGCTAGCTGCAGCTAGCTGTGGCTAGCTGCAGCTAGCTATTTCTTGTGGCTCTTAATTTCTGCTGTTTGTTTTTATTGAAAGAATATAGAAGACAAAAAGGGTCAATTAAGAGTATTGAAGAGAAAAAGAAAGAAGTGAAAGAGAATTAAAAAGAAATAAAAAAGAAATCAAAAGAGTTAAAGAAAGGACAAAAATGGGACAAAAAGAATTCCAAAAGAGTCATTAAACGAGACGAGGGTAAAGGGGCAAAAAAGACGCAGATATATCTGGATGACGCAGTTTGCTGCAGCAACGATTGCTGCTGCTGCTGCTGCTGCTGCTGCTGCTGCTGGAGTTGTGGTGTGAGCAGCTAGCTCTCGCTGTATTTTTTCTTTTGGTTTTTAAATTATAAATTTAATTAATATTTGTGGGGCCGTTTGAAGCGAGCAGCCGAAGACACTGCTGCAGCTGCGGGAGCAGCAGCAGCAGCAGCAGCGGCAGCAGCAGCGGCAGCAAAACGCATCGTCGAGCCCTGCTGCTGCTGCTGCGCCGGCTGGGGGGCCCTCCTGTTCACTGTTTTGTTTGTGTCTCTTTGTTTTTGACTTCATTTTTAATTTAAATGTCATTAAGGAGCAGAAAAACTTAAATGGAAGGCAGCAGCAGCAGCAGCAGCAGCAGGCAGATCTGCGGTAACCGCAGCGGTCAGCAGCAGCAGCAGCAGCAGCAGCGACGGCAGCAGCAGCAGCAGCAGATCGCTGGAAAAGAGACTGTCTCCACTAAACCCTAGATCTTTTTAATGATTTATTTCACCTTTAAAACCCTAAACCCCAAACCCTAAACCCGAGCCCCAGCGCTTTGAGCCGGTTCCATCCCCTTGAGTCTCCCGATTCTCCTTCAAACCCTGAACCCCAAACCCTAAACCCTAAACCCTAAACCCTAAACTTTCCTCTCCTCCGGGGCCCACCATGCGTCGTCTCAGCGCACAGTTAACCCATTTGTGCCCAGCAGCAGCAGCAGCAGCAGCAGCATCAGCAGCAGCAGCAGCAGCAGGTAGACTGTAGGAAGGTCCGAAGAGATCATAAAAACAAAGGAGACAAAAGGAAAAAACAAAACCTCCCGCCATGGCTCCCACGTCCGCTGAGCCCAGCAGCAGCAGCAGCAGCAGCAGCAGCAGCAGCAGCAGCAGCAGCAGCAGGAATAAGGAGCCCGACAGCCCCAAGGGCGCGGTTGAATGTTTACACAGCTTTTCTTTGCATGCACTTTTTAAAGAATTCACTGCCCAGGTCCCCGCCAAACAAATTCCCTGCAGAGCCTCGTGAGGGTTTAGGGTTTAGGGTTTAGGGTTTGGGCTCTAGGGTTTAGGGTTTAGGGTTTAGGGTTTGGGCCTTAGGGTTTAGGGTTTAGGGTTTGGGCTTTAAGGTTTAGGGTTTATGGGACGGGGCGGCTTTTCGGGACGTTGTCGCTGCCAAAGTCCTTGAAGAGCCTCATGAGGGTTTGGGGTTTAGGGTTTAGGGTTTAGGGTTTAGGGTTTAGGATTTAGGGTTTAACTTTTAGGGTTTAGGGTTAAGGGTTTAGGGTTTAGGGTTTGCGTGCATCAGGCCAAACTTGAAATGGCGTTACTACGAGTTGGGGGCCCCCTCGGGGCCCCTTATTATTTTTCTTCATGGAGTTGCAGGTTCTGCTGCTAATTACTTTCAGCAGCTTGTTGCACTTAGAGACAAGGTAGCTGCTGCTGCTGCTGCTGCTGCTGCTTATGCTGCTGCTGCAGCTGCTGGGGCTGCTTTGTTGCTGTTTTTGCGGCTGCTTGTGTCGCTGCTGCTGCTGGCGGTGCTGCATCTGCATTTGCTGCTGCTGCAGCTGAATGCGCTGCTGGCGCTGCTGCTGCTGCTGCAGTTCTTTTGCCTCCAGCAGCAGCAGCAGCAGCAGCAGCAGCAAGGACTGTCTCCATTTTGCACTTAAATCTTTAACTCTGCGGCATGATCTTTGCGTCTGCTTTGGCCTACCTTTCCCCCATTTTCTTTCCTTGACCATTAATTAATTAAATTAATTAATTTAATTAATTAAATTAATTTAATTAATC